AATAAACCGACTCCCTCTGAAAACCGACCATAGATCCCAGTCCCAGTCATGGTCGGTTTTGACAGGTTTTACTGTATCATGCAAATTAGGTAATTAACGAGCATGGATTTTCACCAAAACCTAATCAAATCTGCGCATTGGCCCAGAGCATCTATGCACCAAGTTTCATCAAAAACCGATGTATGGTTCTTGAGATAGCAGTGGAACAGTCGGACACACATACACACACACAGACAGACACAGTAACTGCAAAGACTCCCATTATGTGCTTCGCACCTGGGTGTCAAAAATGAACAATATGTATATAGCAATCGGACTTGCTGTTTTTAACAAGAAGTCGAAAATATCACTTTCTACCAAAATAATTCATCAAAATTAGAGAATTGAAGATATCATCACTAAATGATCAAATCGGAGAGAAGTCCACATGTAGTACCTATATATGTAATATCAAAGCAATCGAACTTGTGGTTTTTAACACGAAGTCGAAAATATCACTTTTTACTAAAAATGACAAAAATATTCATTAAAATTAGAGAATCAAAGATATCATCACGAAATGAACAAATCTGAGAGAGGTCCACATGTAGTACCTATATATATAATATCAAAGCAATCAGATTTGCAGTTTTCAACAAAAAATGAAAAATATCACTTTTTACCAAAAATGACAAAAATATTCACCAAAATCCGAGAATAGAAGATATCACCATGGAATGAGCAAATCTAAGTGAGGTCTACCCAAGGTACATATACAAAGAGTTGCATGCCTGCCAATCAGCCATTTTTAATCAAAGTCGCAGTTCATAACATTTTTTCAAAAAATACATTACTTACTGTATGATTATTAATATTAATATCTTCTTCATATTTTGATTTGATTTTTGCTTTTTCCTGTCCCTTAAGAATGGTACCATGTCTGGAATACTCAACATAGTCCTCCTATGAACAAAAATTATTCGGACATGTGATGTTGTTCAGAAAAAGCACATTTCTATAAAAGCGAGTAATGATACTTGAAATGAACAACAGGGAAAAAGCAGAAAGATGTGACACAGAACATTTAATGAGTCTTGTCAACTCACTTATATCTGATTAATAGACTATTTGCATTGAAGTTACACAAAATCTGGCTTAGTTTGTGAAATATATACACTCACTCTGACTAATTATGCAGACAAACTTGCACTGAATGACTACAAACTATTCAGATTTTACATTTACCGATTGGAAGATTTTCAAAACACTGTAAAAAACAGCCAGACGGATTACACCAGTATTGATGGTATTTGTCCTAAATTCCCATTTATTGTAAAATGCTTTATTTTCGCTTGGAATTAATTTCCGCTGTAAGAACGATTCAGTGAAAATAAAATCCAGCGAATATATCTTCGTTTCTTTTTTTTACATTCGACTCATGAAATATCAGTGAAAATAAATTGCATATAAAACACCCGAGAAGTTTTTTACAGTACATAAAACAAGTGTTTCATTGATAGAGGGCACTATATTATTGAGAAGACATTAATTTCATACTTACAGTTTGCGCCAAAAGAAGTTGATTGGAAGGAGCTTCTAAATGTTCTTCACCACCATACTGTAATATAAGATAAACATTATTAATAACAATCACAGCTTCTCCATTCAGTAACAAAATACAGTTCTAGCATAGATAATCCTGTTAAGGAAAGCTGCAGTCATGCTGTGATAATCCACAACTATTTTAGGAGGCTGTATCCATTTACATGTAAAAATTACTCACTGTTTCCAGAATACTTTGTTTCTTGTTCTCTGTGAAATCATCTTTTCTAACTTTGAATTCACTGTGTAGCAATTCTAGCTTGGTTGGCTCAGCTTGTAAATGAACATCAGTACCCCTCTCGAAGGCATCCCATGCAAATACTGTCAAATACAGAAATCACATTTACTATTCTAAAATATGAAGGTTTGCAAAAAACAGCAATGTTTCAATGACCAAAGTTGGGCAGAACATGGATGCAAAATTTGTGTCTGTGTTCCTGAGAATGCTTTTATTACATTGTACCCACTTACAAAGTTGACACATATAATACAACACCCACACTGAAATGCTTGCATCTTAAAAACGTTGAGTTACAATCTATTACATTGTACCCACTTACAAAGTTGACACATATAATACAACACCCACACTGAAATGCTTGCATCTTAAAAACGTTGAGTTACAATCTATTACATTGTGAGTCCCTCTGTGGTTGGACATTATTACTTTACTTAAATGTTTCTTATGCTGATTTTCATAGCTTATTGAAACGATTAAAATTCCAAAGAATACATTCAATTGAACAATTAGGTAAAGGAAAAGAAAACACATACAAATTGAACTCAGACACGTATATTACTACAGTCACAACTCCAAAACATGCATACTTATTGTATTATTCTATAATGCCAATGAAGCCCAACTCATGTGCTTTTTATAAACAGTCTCTTTAGCTCTATGCTCGAACTTGTTTTCCATTACGTAGTACTAAGTATCGCAACATTGATATTCACCTTCACAGTAACACTCAAATTACTACACTATAACCATGGCTCACAACTTCACTTGAAATTGCAATTACATTGTCCTCCTTGTTGACTGTAGATATGTACATTACAACACTTGCAACTCAAAAACGGGCAGGAATGAAATCAGACTTATTTTTACAATGCTATAATATCAAGCTTAAGCACTCTCACAACTTTAATAATTAACATTAAATATAACCACTCGCAATTGCATACATTTGTCCACTCGCAAAGGTGAAAATTGAAAAACAGGAAAAAGATCTGTGAGGGTTCAATACGACTCCTACTACAGCAAAGCTCTAGAACTAAGGGCACATGCATTTGAACCTGCTACACCAAGGCTCAAGAGCAAGAACTAAGGGCACAGGTGTGTAAATGATATAAAGAAACAACTTACACTGTGCTTGTGCCATTTTGTTTGTGTCACCAACTGCTCTCACAAAGTTATCACCAGAATACGGTAATCTATGGCAAATAAAATAGACATTACCTCAAGGAAGAAACTTGAGTGAATGATTTCTTCCAGTAACATTGGTTATAGAGTGAGTAGCATGTATGGAATAACATGTATAGAGTGAGTAGCATGTATGGAATGAGTAGCATGTATGGAGAGAGTAGCATGTATGGAGTAGCATGTATAGAGTGAGTAGCATGTATGGAATAACATGTATAGAGTGAGTAGCATGTATGGAGTGAGTAGCATGTATGGAGTGAGTAGCATGTATGGAATAACATGAATAGGGTGAATAACATGTATGGAGTGAGTAGCATGTATGGAGTAAGTAGCATGTATGGAGTGAATAACATGTATGAAGTATGTAGCATGTATGGAGTAGCATGTATGAAGTGAGTAGCATGTATGGAATAGCATGTATAGAGTGAGTAGCATGTATGAAGTGAGTAGCATGTATGGAATAGCATGTATAGAGTGAGTAGCATGTATGGAATAGCATGTATAGAGTGAGTAGTAGCATGTATGGAATAGCATGTATAGAGTGAGTAGCATGTATGGAATAGCATGTATAGAGTGAGTAGCATGTATCGAGTAACATGTGATTTTGTTGATGTATCATGATGTTCCTTGTCAAAATCTATTTTACAATAAGGTGTAACTTACTCTTCAGCTGGCTTTCCTGTGTTTTTATATGGATTTTCACGCATGGAACGCGTCTTGGGGTCATAGTAGGCTGAATTAGGATCTAAGTTACGTAGATACTGAAATGAACAAAGAAACAAACATAGGATTCAGTTTACATTTTCATATTTGCATTACTTAGTGCACACTACGTAAACTAAAAAATGAGTTGTAGACTGAGTTTCAAACCCATTTTTTCACTTTAAAAAAATATTTTATGCTTAGAAACATAAAGATGAATAATATGAATATATGTACCAATAAATGATTAGAGGTGAGAAAGCAGCAGACATTTCACAAGCACTTAAAGAGAAATAACTTTAATATAAAGGAACCTGAAGCACAGAAAACTTATTACCTTTGCGGTATCTTCTCGAATTCTCAAGTTTCTGACTGTAATACGTCTGTAAAGAACACAATATTTATTTCATTATTTTTTGGCGATATGGAAATCATATCAACAGAAGGGGATCACAACCAGTGATTTCTGTCTCAGTTTTTCACAAGTTGAACACACATACACTGTAAAATACATTCTGTCCAACTTCTTTGAGTGTGTATAAATGCTTTCCGTATTTTACAAATATTACGTAAACTTTCAAAGGTAACATGGATGACACGGATTTATAGTACCCATAAACAATTATGAAGTGGGCTATGATTTTAAGCATGAAATTAAATACCTTTTAGTATCAAAGTTAGTACCCGGCATATCAGCACCTTCTGCATATTTGTCTTCATCATCATCGTCGTCATCACTGTCACCCACCTGTAAATATACACACTAGTTGATAGTATTTCGTCTAAATAAGAAACATTTTATTGCCTGGTGTGGACACTAATCCATGCTAAATAAATAATCTGTACGAGGTATTTCCAGTCATATAGGAGATGGGGTGACTAATGACATTATAGAAGAATAGGCTCTAGCATTTTCAGTTGATTTAGATAATTCTGTAGATATTTCAATTTTAACAAGTCATTGTCAATGACACGTCCCCGTTCCGTTCATATTTGAGTGACATATACATTCAAAGCAGATCATGACCGAAATCTCAGACCACTTGATCCAAAATGCACCTACATATGTACAACACATTGTATGATGTGTGTGAAGTATGGTCTTGATCGGTTCAGGCATGCCTGAGATATGGATGCTGAACTGTATTCAGTTAAAACCCGATTTGGAAAACAAAACAACGTGATTCAAGGTACCATAATGTACAATGTATGCATGAAGTGTGAACTAAATTCACCCATGGTGAATATGTGCAATTTTGACGAATTTTTGACCTTATAAGGACTGGCCCAAATGCACAGGCATATGTATGATATAATGTATGATGTGTATGTAAAGTTTGAACTTGATCTGTCTAGGCATGTCCGAGATATGGATTGAAAACGAAATTCTTTAAAACAAAATGGCCGCCAGTCGGCCATTTTGAACTTGATCCGAAGAAACTTTGGTGTGCATCAAGCTTATATTATGTTTAATACATGCACTAAATCTGAACAAAATCCATCCATGCATAACTGAGATCCGGTTCTGGAATTGTGAAAATGCGTGATTTTGATGCATTTACGGCCTTAAAATGGCCATCATTCAGCTATTATTAAGCAGATCATGAAACAAATGCACATATCTATTTGTGACATGATGTACCATGTGTGTGTGAAGTTTGAACTTGATCAATCCAGACATGTCTCCGATACGGTTCCAGAACTGAATTCTTTAAAACAAAATGGCCGCCAGTCGGCCATTTCGAACTTGATCCGGAAAAAAA